GTCGTCGGTCTGTCCGATGTAGACTCGAATGGCCTTGAGGATCATGCCGTAGCCACTGGGACCTCTCTTGATTGCGTATGTACTGGTGACCATCTGGGAGTGCTGCGGGCTGCTGAGAGGACTGGCCTCGGCCACGCTGCTGCTGGACCCACTGTCCTGAACTCCCGCCACCACTCCTGAGAGAGAGAGGCAAGGCAACACCGAAATTGAGGTTAGCAAGGCTTTAGGGAGACGGTAGGCTAGGGTCTGATGACATTGAAGGACGAAAGGTGTGTGTGCTTTTTACCATACAAAGCGGAGCCCCTCTAATTGGGACACGACAGAAGGGGGTCATTAAGCCAATTAAATCACTGGGTACTAACTGTGGAAAGGTGGGTGGCCTAAATTTATCGTACTTTTAGCGAGGATGTAAGAGTAAGGACAGGCCAACCAACCAGCACCAGCAATCTGACCATGTCTGGAGAGTGCAGTGCTCATGAGTAAGCAGTTCATAAACCACACAGACAGAGAATGATGCTAGAAATCCCAGCAAGGCTCTAACACCTTAGATCAGAGGTAAGGGAGACACCTAATATCAACGCATTACATGCAGCCCGAAACTGAAGTGGTGCTTTAGAATCGAAATAGCGCACTATGCACTGGAACAAGATTCCCATTCAGTAGTACTGAGTCAAAGCACGGGCCACTTCATAACTTGCCGAATGGCTTAACTGTTACACATGCTGCAAAAGAAGGGTAACTCTCAGTGCATGAACACCATCTAGACTAGTGTATTGAGGCCACACCCACCAGGAGTGGGTGGACACACAGTGATGTCAGCGATGGAGATCTGAGAGATGTCGTCGCCGAGACCAGACCTCCTCTGGGAGAGACACGAGGCAGCCGTGTACGAGTGGGTGGTGATGGAGGGAGGGGGAGAGGTGGGCATCTGTTGGAGTGGCTCTGGGGTCTTCTCTCCCTCGTCCAACATTGGCTCCTCATCACTCACCTGCAGTAACACATGATGACAGAGAATTATATAATGCACGGCCGAGAGTACTTTAAACAACACTTCTCAGGCTAACACAGCAGATACTACTAGAACCAATGCAAAACGAATGCGAGTAGTTCAACTTTACGCACACGTTCATTACTGTATGTGCAGTGGCAGTGCCCATCACCACATTGAGACGACTAGGTTAGGCTCAGTTTGCTAGCCTAGCAACGTGTGCACACACACCTCATCAATTGTGGTGACAATGTTGTCCTCTTCTTCTCCCTCTGGTGCAGCGTCTCCTGCCCTCTCCCTGCCACCACCACCAGTAGTTGTACTAGTGTTGGCAACACCAGTGGCAGTCCCGGAGGATCTTGACAGTCTCGGCCGCCGTCGGCTGGCCAGAGGACGGCACTACCTCCTCACTGCCCACCGGAGTGGGTGTGGTCGACGATGACCCACTCAGAACTGGAGGTTGGGAGGACACAACACTAGTTGTTTCACCTGCTGCATTACACAATATACACAGTTGCGGTCTAAAGAAGTCTTTGTGTTCATGTGTCAGCTATTCCTTGACTCAACTGAACAGAGAACTGTAGTAGTTGAACAGACAAAGAGCTCATCTTATAATATGGTATCGCCACTGACCATCGCACACACCACAGAGGAAAGATAGTGTGCCTGAATCACGCACGATGCCTCCTGGCCTAGTGGAGATCTCTTGTTTACTCACCAGAGATTCCAGAGTCTCTGTGTTCGTGTTTGGGGCCTTCTCCAGACAGAATGGGAACCATTTTACTCTTCAGGAGCTGCTGGTGCTGGTGTTGGCTGGGGTCTGTCTCGTCACACAGAGAGCTCTGCAGTTCCTCCATCATCTGGCAGAACCGGGGTGCCACCTGGCTGAAGTTGGCAAACGACTGCTGGAGAGGGTCGTTGTTGGCGTCAACTCCATCTTCTTCGTCGTCGTCGCTGACAAACTCGTGGGTATAGCGGTCATCTCGACCTGAGAGAGGAGGAGGAGAAGGAAGGTGAAAGAGAGCGAGGGCAGTGAGTAAGAAGTGTACGTAAGAAGAAAGAAAGAGATAAACGAAAGAAAAGTGTGAACAAGGAATTAGATGGGTGCTAGGGAACACGCAGTAGGGAGTGCAGTGTACTGTACAATAGTAGAAGTAGTGAGAGAGACAAAAAACAGGATATAAGACGAAACAATGGGAATGTGGCAGTACATAAGGGATAAATCAATACGGCCCAGTGCAAGAATTCAATTAGGTTTCCTTTAATACTCCCATACTCCTTTAAAATAAGACGTAGCAAGTAAAGAGTTGTAGTGACTGACTGTCAAAGTAAGAGGTGTCCTCCTCTCCCTGGAGCTGGGGAATGAAGAACTCTGCCTTCTCTCTCAGCAGATTCTGCCAGTCTACTTCCTCAAAGAATGGATGATCTCTCACACCAGTATCACCCACTAAGTACATCAACCATAGAACTGACTCCTCTGATAGCAACTTCTTCTGTGCTGTTTTCACCTATGAAGAGACACTTCAGTATAGTTCCGTAATCACGTGAGTCGAGAAAAATGGGCGTAGCTAGCTAGCTAGCTCCGCGGCGTGGATAAACAAACAGCGAACGAGCTGTTCGGTACCGTCTTCTTTCGCACCAGTGAATTTAGCCCGTATAGCTCAGCAATCGGGATATGGCGGACGTCAAACCAGGAAGGAGGAGTCCTCATAGTCCCAGACGAGGGAAGAGATGTAAGTATGCACCCACCGATAATTCCTGGCCTCGACCTGTGTATGGTTGATCAAAGATGGAAGCTACCTGATTCTCACGTGAAAATAAGAGCTTAGCTGATGCTTTTGAGAAAATATCTATTGAGAACGTACGTAGAGCCACAAACACACTAACAGCCAGTAATGATCTCTGCAGACTCCAAACATGTGCCACTGAGCAGAAGGAAGAGTCCTGAAAGCTCCAGGAGCAGGAGAGGAAAGAGAAGTGAGTGTGGTCACCCTTCTTCTTTTATGTGTGTGGCTTGCTACTCAAAAGACAGCAGACAGTATCAGTGGGCATGAGCATGCAGCGAGGGTTTACAGCACTTGGTCTGTGTGTGTGTCTGTCTGTCTATCTGTCTGCAGCTATTCTGGCACTTCAGGCTATGAGGCGGCCAATGAGTGATACCAACAGCTTCCAAACTACGCAATCCTAAAATAATAAAATAGCAATTTTCCTGAAACGACTGTGTTTGAGAGATGTGCCATGAAAGCGAAAAAGCCAATAAGCGTAATTGCTCTGGCTTACCTGACCTGATCCGCTCGCTCTGTGTACCTTGGATGCACAAGAAGTCACAACGAAGGACTTGTATCGACTCCCGCATGCTATCTACTTCTGTAGCTAGCCTGTGTTAAACTCTCCGCGAGCTACTATGTAGCGGGAGACCACGAGTAAATGCATACTCAGCGCGCACACATAAATGCAGTTTATAACGTCCAGGAGCTATACAGCCAACTCCTGGTTTTGCTCACTTTGCATCAATGTGCCATGGGGTCTATGTATGACCCCCATATTAGCATTCCTCACATTGAATAGGAGTCACCCCCTCAACCTGCATATGTATATGGGCCTTAAGTACATTGTAAACATCATGTACATGTAGTAGCTGGGTAGTATATATACTAGGGCTAATAACACTCACTACTACAAAGGGTTACCGTAGCTGGGCTAACATCATCACTTTCTTGACACTGGGTAATACAGTAGTAGAACCTCTGATAAGGG